GCGCTGCATCCGTACTTATCTATATATTCGCTGCACTCATATGTAATACGTTATTCCGTCTCCCAAACTCTTGTCGCAAGCACGGAGACACAGCGCCTCAGAAGACAACCAAAGCAAGCACTGTTCAAGCAAGACAAGCACGAACTATTGAACGCACTGCAACTCCATGAATATGCACGCATGCACGTAAGCATCTATTCCAACCATCAGAATGCCGGAAACACAACACTGCCGATACACGACCCGACCAAAAATTAATTGGCCGCGAGATGCTCACTTCCTGATCAAAACAGCAAACGCCCGGGACGCCAGACAAGGCATTGCCTCAGTGCGGCAATAAACGAGTGCAGGCGCACTGCCTAAACCCACGATTCTGCATATGTCGGTGGTCCCCAGCTCGCAGCCAAATGCAGTACACGCTCCTGTCGAAAGATGCCGCTAATGTCCACACAGCAAAGCCCGCCGCCATATCTTTTCTCCGCAAAGCGATCGTCAGCAGCAAGGGCAGCCGATGTGCTCGCCTATAGGGCCTGGCGTTGTAACGCAAGTCAACGAGTAGTTGCTGCTGCCTCCCGCCGCGTATTGCGCTGCATGCGCGCTTAGCTAAATATTCGCTGCAGTCACTTGTAATACGCGATTCCGACTCGCACACTCATAGAGCAAGCACGGAGACACAGTGCCCGAGATGATACCCAACGCAAGCACGGTTCAAGCAAGACAAGCACGAACTATGTAACCCACTGCAACTCCATGAATATGGACGCATGCACGTAAGCATCTATTCCAACCATCAGAATGCCGGAAACACAACACTGCCGATACATGCCCCGACCAAAAATTAGTTGGTCCCTAGGTGCTCACCTTCTGAGCAAAAGGGCAGGCGACCCGGATGCCAGGGAACGCATCGCATCAGTACACCAATAGACGAGTGCAGGCGCACTGGATAAACCCACGATTCCGCAGATGTCGGTGGTCCCCAGCTCGCAGCCAAATGCAGAACATGCTCCTGTCGGCGGATACAGCTGATGCCCACACAGTAAAGCAAGCCGCCATATCTTTTCTCCGCAAAGCGATTATCCGCAAGCCCAACCGAATTGCTCGCCAATAGGGCCTGGCGTTGTAGCGCAAGTCAACAAGTAGGCGCTGCTGCCTCCCGCCACGTATTGCGCTGCATGCGTGCTCAGTTGCCGATCCACTGCAGTCACTTCTAATACGCAATTCCGTCTCGCACACTCATAGCGCAAACACGGAAGCACAGTGCCCCAGAAGATACCCAAAGCGAGCACTGTTCAAGCAAGACAGGCACGAACTATTTAACGTACTGCAACTCCATGAATATGCATGCATGCGCGTGAGCATCTATTCCAACAATCAGAATGCCGGAAACGCAACACTGCCGATACACGCCCCGACCAAAAATTAGTTGGTCGCTAAGTGCTCACCTTCTGAGCAAAAGGGCAGGCGACTGGGATGCCAGCGAACGCATCGCCTCAGTGCGGCAATAGACGCGTGCAT